CAGAGTGCTAGGATTACAGGAGTGACCCAATCCTTTTTTTTGCCCCAGATTTCTAGGCTGTTACCTAAACTTTGCCTAAGAGAATGTTTTAATATTTTCTTGGTGTCTGTACCTTTGAGTGCCTTTTCAAGCTACAGAGGATGTAAGAAACTATAATTATGACTCGGTTCGTGTAAAAAAGATAAAGCCTTATCAAAACAGTGCTGACCTACTGCTTGCTTTTAAAATTGTTTCCTAGCAGATCCACAAAATAGACATTATATGGATTTATTGAATTTCTTCTGCATTGTAGGGACAGGATAACAAGTACTGCAAAGTTGTTGGGTTAAATGTGAGACCAGCTTAACTATCCTTAAGGGTTAGAGGTGTTTAAAAAAAAAAAAAAGCTGAATTTGAGATCAGCATATAAATTGATGGGAATAGGTATATACTTTGAAAAAAGCCTTTTTTAAACAACAAAGAAGTAGCCTTTGTAATTCTTTTCAGAGCAAATCTGAGTTTCCAAACACTTCCTTTCTGTATTTTTTTTTTTTTTAAGAGAAAGAGTCTTGCTCTGTCACCCAGGCTGGAATGTAGTAGCACAATCATAGTTCACTGTAGCCTTAAACTTCTGAGCTCCAGCATCATCCTGCCTCAGTCTCCCGAGTAGCTGGGACTACCAGCTCCTACTACCACCACACCTGGCTAAAGTTTTATTATTTTTTGTAGAGATGGGGTCTCACCACGTTGCTCAGGCTGGTTTTGAACTCCTGGCCTTACGTGACCCTCCTGTCTTGGCCTCCCAAAGTGATGGGATTACATGCGTGAGCCCCTGAATCAGCCCAGCCTCTTTCCTCTATTTTTGATCCCTAAGTAGGTGTTTCTTAAAGGGCAGTACATATAGGCCTGGATGTACCATGATTTTAGGTGGCATACAAGTATCCTTTTATCTTAGTAGTTAAATATTTTGATATGAATTGGAAAAATATAACTAGCTTTTCAAGCCAGTCATTTCATGGATATTATTGCTGAAATAAAGCTATAATAATAGGCCATGATGTTAGGTCTGTGTATGTTTTTAAATTAGTAAATAATAGTATAGGTAATATATCAAAAAGGCAAAAATCATGAAGGTAGTATGCAAATAACTGAAGCTTGGTAAACACTGCATTAAACTGTGCCCATTGACACTATTGTTTTTTGTTTTGTGTACCAGTATTCAGTTAAGAGCAACTTTTTGGCTAGACATAGCCAATTTTCTGTCTCTTGGAGTCCCAGGTTAGAACAAAAGATGTCTATCCCAAAATCATGTTAGGTAGTGCTCAGTGCTGAGTCATCTAGACAGCAAACTAGTCTTGTTTTAAATAAGTAACACTAATGTGTATATTTGCATTTTTCTTGGGAAAACCCTGTATAGGCTTTGATTTGGCAGGTCAATCTATGAGCTATATAGTTGATAGGGACAGGAAAATCTTAAGTCTTGGTGACAAAAATCCACCTTCCTCTTCTTCCAAATCTACGAATGGGATGGAGTGGAATGTGTGCCTCTGCTTATGAGTTTTTGTATGTCTTCAGTCAACTTGAATTCATATTTTTGGTGTCCTTTCCATAGTGAAAATGTGAGCTGCTCGTGAATAAGACCTGTGTTTGAGGCAATTTTATGTATCTACTTAGGTTAGCAGTATTGCTTCTCTTTCTCCTCAGTTTTCCTTTCCCTCTCCTTTTTCTTCTTTAAATATGGAGCCCCTATCCACTGTGGAAAGTCTGCAATTAAATTTACCAAGATATGAACTAATTAAAGGATCTCACTGTGACCTAGCCAAGGTGACTGGGGAAGAAATATGGATAGTGTTTTGGAATTTCTATCAGGGATGTGTCAGTTCTTAGCAGTGCTATCATGCAGGATTTTCAGGTTGGATTAGAGCCTGCTGCCTTGGCCAGTTGCTTCATTGGTAGGCTAATTTAGTTGGAATTTCCACCCTGTTTTGAGATGGTTTGTATTTGGCAGCCTCGTAGTCAGCACATATCCTTTGGCTTTTCTCCAAGAATTTCATACACATCTTGGGCCTAAGTTGCTCACTTTGTTCTCAGAGGTTAGTGTTTCTTTTTTCTAGCCACAGCAACAGGTTCAGTAGATAAGAATGGCATCTGCCTAACATGACAAAAGAGGGGGAGGACACTTTAAAAATCTTATTCCTGGCCCATAAGTTTAATGTGGAATGGTCCTAGAAATGAATCATCTGAATTATTAGCTCTGTGTTTACCATACTTTTCTCATAATAGATACTTATAAAATGGAAATGTTTCTCCTTTTCTAGTTCAAATTAACATTATTCTAGTATTAGTCATTCCTCAGTGCAGTTACATCAAAACTGAAGTCCAGAGAAATACCATCTGTGCCAGGATAATATAAGCACTTTTTAGGGTGATAGAGAAACCTGTCTAAAAGAGAGTTTGTGTGGCAAATTAATATTTAATGAACATAAGAGCCACAGTGAAAAGTTAGAAGTCTAGACCCTTCTCGCTTCTTAGTTTTCTTTGAAATGCAGCTATGGTTTGCCCCTAGCCTTTGCCCAAAATAAAATCTCAGTGTTTCCCTGTTCTAAGCAAAATAACCTATGTAACTGTGACTCCCTAGTAGAAAATCATCTGGAGTAGGGTAGTCAGCAAATAGTTATGAGGAATAGTTTTTTTTGTTTCTTTGAAAAATTGGACTTTAAAATGCTTTGTTCTAAGGAAGGCTAATTTTTTTAAATCAGAATTTTAAAACACAAACTGTTTCTTTTAAGTGGTGATTTTTTTTTTTTTTTAAGTCACCAAGTCCAGGTATTAAATACCTTTTTGGAAAATAGCCTGAAAACAGAATTTCTTTGAATTGTTCATTTAAGCATTATTTTGGGATGTTACATAGAAACCCTGCACCTAAAAATAGCCATGTATAATCAATATTTACTCTGAAATTTTATAGCTAAGCTTTAATGTAGGTTATATGATCTCTTAATTATTTAGAATGGATTTTACAGTTAATATTTAAACCTCTCTATTGCTTGACATAGTGCCTTATGCCTAATAGACTTTTACTCTGTTTTTATTTTTAGAAAAGGTATAGTTTGGCAGTGGGGCCTCCAAAAAAAGACCCAAAAGTTAAAGGTGTCCAATCAGCAGCTGTACAAGCATTTCTTAAAAGGAAACAAGAGGAACTCAGACGAAAAGGTACACATCTGTCGCCTTATTCTCAATTTTAAAGTCTTCCACCTTCACATGTAGCTTGTACTTAACCAGTGGATGTTTGTAAAAGCATAAAAGGCCGATAGATTTGGCAGGGGTGGGGTGGGTGGCTGTTGTCTGGATTAACTGGATTTATGGCTTTACATATGTTCTTATGTTGATCATTTGTGTAGAAGATTTCCTTTATTCCTCTTTAAATTAAAAGCTTTTTGGGGTTAGTGACCATGTCTTGTAATTGGGAGTTCCCAGTAACTTCATTCTTTAACCTTTGTTCTGAAACTGTTTCTATCTATTTGTGTTTTAATTTTTTTTATTAATAAGAGTGCTATCTAAAAAGTTAAAATAAGGATAATTTTTTAAACCATTAAGCTCAAGTAGTTTTATTTCATATAAATGACAAAGAAACTGATTCAATATGTTTAAGTATTCATTGAGTCATAATTAATAACAACTGCTAAGTGGATACTAATGTTCCCTTAACTTGGTACATTTATTTCATATGAACTATTTTCTATATTTAAAGCTGAAAACCAAATCTTCCACTTGCTTAGTCATATAGAAAAACCCATGTGTCCTACTCATTACATAAAGATGACTCAACTGATACTTGTTCAAATGACTTCCTCATTTGATTCCTAGATGTTTTCAAACTGTAACTTGAATATTCATTGTTTTTGTTTTCAGTTGAGCATAATGCTATCTTGAGACCTTGAAATAATAATATGTTCTTGTTTTGTCCCTTGTAGCCTTAGAGGAGAAAAGGAGAAAAGAAGAACTAGTGAAAAAGCGAATTGAGCTCAAACATGACAAGAAAGCAAGAGCTATGGCCAAGAGGACAAAGGATAATTTCCATGGTTATGATGGAATTCCTATTGAGGAAAAGTCAAAGAAGAGGCAGGCAATGGAAAGCCACACCAGCCAGGGAACAGACCAAGAGTATGAGATGGAAGAAGAGGATGAATCCTTTGAGTACAATCAAGCAGAGTATGAGCAGGAGTATGAGGAAGAGGAAGAACCTCCCAAAGTTGAAAGCAAACCAAAGGTCTCCCTTAAAAGTGCCCCACCACCCATGAACTTCACTGATCTACTCAGGCTGGCTGAGAAAAAGCAATTTGAACCAGTGGAGATCAAGGTAGTGAAGAAATCAGAAGAGCGGCCTATGACTGCAGAAGAACTTAGGGAGCGAGAATTCCTTGAACGAAAGCGTAGGAAAAAGAAGCCTGAGACAGATGTAAAACTACCTCCAACTGTGTCCAAAAAGGCACCCTCTCAGAAAGAAAGCACGGGCACAAAACTCAGCAAAGTTTATGAAGACAGGCATCCTTCTTCCAAGGGAATGCCCCTTCCTCATGCTGAGAAGAAATCCAGAGCCAGCATGGCCAATGAGAAACACTCAGCTTTGTCTTTATCCAAATGCATGCCAGGAGAGAGGACCAAGGCAGGCTCTGGCAATATTTCCCAACCCTCACTTCGCGAGGGCCATAACAGACCTGTTTTGAATGGGGCTGGAAAGCCCCATTCCAGTACCTATTCACCAAGTGTCCCAAAGACTTCTGCTAGTGGGACTCAGAAATGTGTTACTGAGCACAAAGCCAAAAAGTCTCCTTCCCATCCTAACCATTCCAGGCCTGGGCCTATGGTCACTCCACACAATAAGGCTAAGAGTGCAGGTGTCAGGCAGCCAGGCAGCAGCTCCAACTCAGCCCCTGGTCGGCCCAGCATAGCAACTGCTCGACCCACAGTTAATTCTGGCCCTGCACCCAGGCGGCAGAATGGCAGCTCCAGCTCAGGACCTGAGCGATCCATCAGTGGGACCAAGAAGCCATCCAGCGACTCGAATCCCTCTGGACGAGCAGTCAGTGGTGCTAGTGGCCCTGGACGACCAATAAACAGCTCGAGTGGCCCTGGGCGACCCATTGGTGGCTCAGGTAGTTCTATGAGACCTGCGGGCAGCTCTAGAGGCCCTGGGAGGCCTGCGAGCAGTCCACATGACCTTCGACGACCAGTGAGTGGCTCAGGCCCCCTTGGGCGGTCAGTCAGTGGCCCTGGGCGATCCATAAGTGGGTCAGTTCCAGCTGGAAGGACTGTCAGTAGTTCAGGCCCTGGAAGACCAATGAGCAGCTTGGGACCTGGGCGAACAATTAGTAGCTCAGGTCCCCTCATAAAGCCCAAATGCACTGTTGTCTCAGAAACAATTTCTTCCAAGAATATCATTAGCCGGTCTAGCAATGGACAGATGAATGGAATGAAGCCTCCCTTATCTGGCTACAGATCTGCCCAAGGTAAAATTGCCCCCACCCTAAAGAGTATTTGTCACTAGGAAATTGGAAAGAGTACTTAGTTTTATATGACCTGGGACCCTGACCCTGTGAACCCTTTCATGTGCTCTCTAATATACTCTAGTGTTGATAGAATCCTGATGTGTTTGTCCTGTGGCTGAGAGTTTCTTTAATGATTGTGGCTTGGAAAAGTCTTTAGAAAGACTTATCTAGGGTCCTCTGTTCACCCATGCAGTGTCCCCCAAGTGCAATAAACTTTGTGATTTGTGAGACAGGGTGAATGTACGTGCTTTATATATATGGTCCAATGGATGAGTTAATCTTTACCTTTTTCTGAGGACCAAAGAGACCCGTCTTCAGGGATCAGAGTGTAATTGTAAGCTTGAAGTCTTTCGATGCATATGTATTGAGCAAACATAAGTTAAGCACCCATTATGTGCCAGAAACTGTTTTAAACTGCCCTTGTGTTTGTGCTCCTTATAATGGGTAGTATCAAGGTCCTAACCACTGATCCTTTAGGAATCTGCTGTCCCAAGGTACAGAATCATTGGTGGCATCTACTAGCTGCTAAGTCATAGTTGCTTCATGCTAATAGGCACTTGTTAGGCACCATGGAGAATATAAAAAAAAACCAATGATGAAATTCTTTGCTTTAAAATTCCTAATTCAACTAGACTATTGATTCTCAACCAAGGGCAGTTTTGCCCCCAAGGGGACATTTGGCAATGTCTAGAGACCTTTTGGGGTGGGGGCACAGGGTCTCACTCTGTCACCTGGGCTAGAGTGCAGTGGCATAATCATACCTTACTGTGACTTCAAACTCCTGGGCTCAAGGGATCCTCCTGCCTCAGCCTCCTGAGTAACTGGGACTACAGGCACATGCCACCGTGCCCGGCTGATTTTTCTATTTTTTTTAGAGACAGGGTCTCACTCTTGCTCAGGCTGGTCTCAAACTCCTGGCCTCAAGTGATCCTCCCTCCTCAGCCTCTCAAAGTTGTAGAATTACAGGCATGAGCCACCACGCCTGATCCTGGAGAAATTTTTGATTATCAAAACTGGGGTTGGGGGATGCCACTGGCATCTAGTAGATAGAGGCCTGGGTTGCTGCTAATAATGTACAGGATAGTCCCCCATGCCAAAGAATTAACTGACCCAAAAATGTCATTGTGCCAAGGTTGAGAAACTCTGAGCTAGGGGAGAGAAGCCATGCATATGAAAAACAACTGTAGAAGAACAAAAGGAATGTCTGTAATCAAAGACTAGAAAGTAGATGGTCTCACATACTGGTCTATTGATCAGTGCCTATCTTTGCAAAGTTTTTTTCAGTCTTTTGGTAAAATGACAAAAAAATATTGCAGTGAGTTTTTCTTGTAGTCAAACTTAGTTTGAACAATTATCTGTAATTCTGAGAATCTTTCATACTTCATTGGACTTAAAAGTTATAATGAAATTATGTGATAGTAGATGGTAATTGCTACTTTTGCTGTATTGGCAAAGTTAAAAATTAGTGATTCTGTGGCAGTTTGTAGATTTTATTTATTTTTAGAATTTTACTGATCTTTTAAATTAAGAAACATGGGCACTATCAAGCTAGAAAATGTAACAAGACATTTGTAATAAGCCCTGGAATAAATAGGAGTTCTGTTCTTTCTGGATACCGTGACACAGCAGGGATGATGTAGTAATGACTCCAGCCTGCTCACTGTGGTTTTTAAGGTTACTATCTTAATAATTTCTCACAGTCTCAATTTACATAGAACTCTGGGCCTATTTGAAGTTTTAAGGTTCTTGTAAATAATAATGGTTTCTATTCTTAGGTCCTCAAAGGCCTGCCTTCCCCATTGGTTACAAAAGGCATCGAGAATATGAAGAGGAAGAAGATGATGATGAATATGACTCAGAAATGGAAGATTTTATTGAAGATGAAGGAGAATCTCAGGAAGAAATATCTAAGCACATTCGAGAAATCTTCGGCTATGACCGAAAAAAGTAAGGCTAAAGATTTAGATAAATATGGCATACTTGTTATCTTGAATAATTCATGTTATGGGAGGAGAAATAAACATTGTGAAGGCATTGAATATAATTCTTAATTAGGAACCCTTGAGTGATTGTTAAATAGATTTACTCTTTTGGCACTAAATATTTTAGAATTAATTCAGACTAGTTTGTGTAGTTATTTGCATGAAGACCAAAAAATACCCCTTTTGGAAAAGTAGTCTATTGCCTTTAAAAATAATAATTAAAAAAAAATGAATACCCCTTTTAAGCTGTTGTCCTTACAAGATGTATATTTAATAAGAGTGAAGTTGCTTAGTGTAGTAGAAATAATTGGCTTTGAAGTCAGCCATCCACAAAGCCTTATTGAAAGCCAGTCTGATCTGACACCTGCTTTTTTCTTTGGTATAAAAAGCTTTGCTGCTGAAGAGTATGGTCACTGGACCACTGGACAGCTGTATGGCACCAGCAGCATTAACGTACCTAAGACCCTGTTACAGATGCAGGCTCTCAGGCCCCACCTCAGACCTACTGGATTTAAATCTAAATGGCAGAGGCCATCCTAAGAAAAGGTCTTTTTTTTTAAAGACAGAGTAGAAGGAAGAACTAGATTAAAAATCAGATCTAAAAATCTAATCTTAACTGCTGTTGCTATATAGCTGTAGATTCTTGGTCAAGCCATTAACCTATCTGCTTTGGTTTCCTCTGTTCTAAAGTCATTCCCTACCTCATGCTCATGAAACTCAAATGAGACTAATGTACACAAAATAATTCTTATATATATTGTGCTTTCAGAATTTTAATATAAATTATCAAATATAGGTGAGTGAATTGAGGAAGCATTGTTGCATTGGTACCTTCATCAACATTAGATTCAGGAATAGTTGCCCTCTGAGGGTAATAAGAGCTCAATTTGTTTTTACTTCAGAAACTTCACTTCTACTCATCCTCCACCCCCCTTACTCTCTGCCAAGCAAGGAGGAATAATCCTAAATGTGTGTTTGATTTAGTTATAAAAGATGTTTTTTTAAGATGACAGGATATAGTTCCTCTAGAAAATTGAATTTTTGTTTTTTTGTAACTTTGACTTCCTCTTTTCAGATACAAAGATGAAAGTGATTATGCCTTACGTTACATGGAAAGTAGTTGGAAAGAGCAGCAGAAGGAAGAAGCAAAGAGGTGAGCATAAAACTTAAGACGTTTGTGCTAAAATGTCCTAAAAATTCTTTACTTGTTGCTATAGTTGCACCATTGGGAACAGGGGCTTGAGGCCTCCCCTAATCCTATTGTAGCATATTCTTGCTTTTCTTTCCCCATCATATACATATCAATCTTTTTTTTTTTTTTTTTGAGACAGAGCGTTGCTCTGTTGCTGGGGCTAGAGTGCTGTCGAGTCAGCCTAGCTCACAGCAACCTCAAACACCTGGGCTCAAGCAATCCTATTGCCTCAGCCTCCCAGGTAGCTGGGACTACAGGCATGCGCCACTGTGCCCGGCTAATTTTTTCTATATATTTTTAGTTGTCCAGCTAATTTCTATTTTTTTAGTAGAGACGGGGTCTCGCTCTTGCTCAGGCTGGTCTCAAATTCCTGAGCTCAAGCAATCCTCCTGCCTCAGCCTCCCAGAGTGCTAGGATTACAGGCGTGAGCCACCACGCCCGGCCACACATATCAATCTTGCTAACCTGTAACATTGCTACCTCAGGGACCCTATGGAGGTATAGTAGATTCCCTCTGTCTGATTCCTGTTTGGTGGCTGTCTGATAGTAAACTAATGATAGTTTCTCAGGCAGGGTAATAAATAATTACTTTGTTTATGCTGTTATTAATAATAATAATTACCTATTAATAATAATTACCTATTAACTGAGGTAAATAATTCACCTCGGTCCCAACTCAGAATATTAAACCTTTTTCTCCCTCTTGCCCTCCTGTAACTATATAAAATATCAAGCTAAAGTGTTGGGAAAGAATTAGAATGTTAATGAATAAATGTTTCTTCTTTATTTTTAAAAGCTTTTGCGATGTTAAGGTATTTTTTGTTATTTGAGAGATCCTTTTTCTACTACAATTTGGGTCCATGGCCCCTGGTGAAAAAGAATCCCTGCTAGTCTGTTTTCAGTGGTAGAGCCTTGAGACATCTTGAGTGCATCAGCACAATCCATGTGAGCTCCCAGTTAAAATTTCTTTCTTGCTTTTTTAAAGAAAGTGGCAATACCTTGTATATTGATGAATACCCTCTTAATAATTTTTTTGGCAGCTTAAGACTAGGTATGCAAGAGGACTTAGAGGAAATGAGACGTGAAGAAGAAGAAATGCGACGTCGAAAGGTCAAGAAGCTCAAGAGGCGTTAGATGCTGCTTTTATTTTTGTGAACTTCCAGAGATGATGTACTGCAAGAATTTCCAGTCTTCAGGCTTGAAGATGCCCCCTTATCATTTTAGATTTATACTTGGGTACTGAAGGAAAAGGAATGCATATTGTTGTTTGCAGGCTGTCATTTGAGCATAAAGTATTTTCAAATATTTTCCAGGGTGCAATCTGTAATGCAGATGATACAATGCCCCACTGTGTGCTCTTATGAAGTTAACTGTTCACAGATGCCAGCCTTGATCCTGATGAGCTATGCACTCTAATATGGGGCCGCTCACCAGTCAACCAATCTTTTGTTGTTCCTTTGCTACTTTGAAAGGAGAAAAAAGATTGTTCCTTGACTTCTATAATTTTTCTGATATGTGAGTAGGGCACTGCCCAACTCCCAATCAAACTTACTGTCTTTTTATGAGGAACCTGGCCCTCCCATGAATGTAGCCAGCAAAAAAGTGACTTGTCCTAATCTGTGATTGGATTGAGAACTTAAAAATGTAGAGTAGGCTTTATAATTATCATGTGGATGCCATCCCTGTGACTTTGAAGTACAAAGTAGAATAAATTCTATATTATTCATGGATTGGATGCTGAGCATTCTTACTAATTTAGGCGATTAAGCAATTAATGAAAAGTTTTCCAAGTTAAAATACAGGTTATGTGAGTATTATAATATTCTTTTCCAAGTTTTCCTTTCAGATTTACTGTTAAGTTTGGCTTTAGTGTAAAATAGACAAGGTCACTGTGCTGAATGATTTTTACCATAAAAAAATCATTTTTATATTAAAGAAAATATTTTATTCAAACATTAGATTTGAAAGAGTAATAGTTTCAAAATAAGAAAGTGACATGTTGAGGCTCCCCTCCTCCCCATTCCCCGCCCATGATAAAGCTATTTTGAAATCCCCAGGTTCCCCTGTACCTCTTGATGTTAATAACTTTGCATTTTTAGCTTAAATTTGTTAGTAAATATTAATGGCAAAAAACCAAAAACTAAATTTATGTCTATCAAGAGCACCACCTTCCCTTTTTGTCCACATTGCACTTTTATTTCAAACTATGCACTGTGAAGAGATTTTTTTCCCAGGTAGAAAGGATATTTCTTGTTACTGGTGTTTTACTGGGCTGTGGAATTTCATTTTCACCCTTCTTTAAGTTACATCTATAGATTTGATGTCACTGAAGTCTGAAGTCCATGCAATTCCAATCAGGCTGACTTAGGATCTGGCTGAAAGGAAGCCAAGTCTAATGGACAGTCAGCAACAGAAAATGAGATATGATGCTAGAGAACATTTGTCCTTGACTCTTAAATGTGGAGGGTTGGGGGAAGTCAGACACAAGCTTATACGGCAATTCTACAATAAATGTTCTTGAGCCATTGGACTGTAGGGATTAGGAAGTAGGAGGGGTGGTCCTACAAAGAATCTTTACTCTTCAACGGGTACAGATATTTTTGTGTATTCCTTTTTATCCATAAAGTCGTCTTTATTCTTCAAGTTTGGGTATTATAGATTGCCATTGTTAGCCTCCCTTAATGGGACCAGGTGACCCAGTCCTTTCAGACCAACTCATCTTTAATCGAGTTTCAAACTTTCAAACTGCAAGGATTTAATTTTGAAGTTGAATCCCATGAAAGGTGTTTTCATCACTAGGAATAAGACCCCAACTCTCCACATAGAACTGTTACGCTGGTAGCAGAAAATCCTATTGACTTCCTCTCACCCATCTCAGATACCTTCAGTGAAATTTATTTAAGGGTAGTATGATGTTGCTATCATTTATGTGCGTTTTTTCCCCTTCCCCTTTCAAAAGTTTTTTCTTGGACATTTTTTTTCAACATTGACTCTGAAATCTGTAATTATAATCAAGTGCTTGTCATAGCTGCAAAATTTCTCTGGTGGCTTAAAGTTTACTAGCACTTAATGATACGGTTCAGTTACTTGTAGAGAAAGGCCCTATTGTGGTAAATAAATTTCCAGAACTTGGTAGGAAGAGTCAGGTTTTAATATTACTTCTGAGTACATTTCTTCTATAATATATATGTTGATTTACATCGACATAAAAGGGCACTTCTGTGGCTCATTTAAAGAATAGAAAGGTTATGAGTCTTTTAAATTTTGGCTTTGTTTTCAAACCTGTCTTCCACTTTGTCCTTCTGTACATCCTGACTATTACAAAAAGCTCACAAACCTTTGAAGAAACTGGAATAGGCTATTATTTTATCAAGGTTTATGAATTATGTGCTTTTCTTTTAATATATCCTCTACTGTTGATTTTCAAATTTTCTTAATTCAGTGTTTGAAGATGTGCCTTTTATTGGGTAATGTTAATCACGAATGTAGTAATGTTATTTCATGATTGTAATAATGTTACATGATCATGGGTGTGGCATTCTCTAACACAAATGATGTGAAAGGAAAGTAGTTTTCATAAAACTCGTGGCTCTGATTGCACAGTCTCACTTGCTTTTGATGTTGCTATGTCAAAGCAAAGGGCACTTTTTAAAGGCTACTTTCAGAACTTTGTATTTTCTCTAAACTATAAATGCAGTTATGTCCATTTGGAGGCCAGGGTACCACATGTCACAGGCAGCCTTACATGTGTGCCGTAAAAAGGTTCAAAGACTGTTAATAAAAAAGAAAGTCTGTGGGAACTCAAAATTTCACTTTTAATGTAATCCCCAAGATTTTCTCCAAGAAATTATTGTTTTGTATTTTGTAACTTAAAAGCAGCTATTAGTACATTTCTGAGATATAGCAGGAGACCAAAACATGTTTGGAAAGAGAATAAATATATGAAGAGAGACTGGTTGTTTTATTTTCAATGTGCTGAATATACTAGACTACTATTTATTTTCTGAGTGGATGTGATGAAATATTCAGACATTTAGTGTATAATTAAGAGTGGGATATAGATTTTTTTGGAGTTATTAAATCCATATCTTTTACATAATGGACAAATCAAATTTTTAAAAAAAAAACTTTTACAGAGCTTAGCTTGTTTTCTGGTGCTGTTGACCTGCAAGAGAATATACTTTTGCATATACAGGTGAAAGTTTTACAATTTATGTATATAAGAAATTGTAGGCATTAAAAATATTTTACTGATATTTTTACTGGTTTGCATTTATTGATCAAAACTTTAAGATATTCTTTATTTCATCATCCCAAACATTTTCCCAGCTAGAAACCTCAGTAAAATCATCAGACTTCAGAGATGGGGTTTGCCGCCTGTCCACACACTCTTACACATTCATGTCTGCTCAGCCCCTATCACTGATAGCTCTTCTCTCCCCCTACCAGTTTGGAGAACTGTTCTGCTCTCAGACTCCTAAGTTAGGAGGTCAGAGCAATAAAATCTAGCTTCATGGCTTGAGTTTTAGAGGTATACTCAACCTGGAGGGAAGAAGCAGAGCTGGGTATGTATTTCCTCTTGTCAAAATGAGCAGGTTCCAATCCCCTATAATAAAAAGCTTGAGATGGCTGAGAAGATGAGTCCTTAGAAATGTATATGAAGCAAGTGGGCACAGCCTTGCAGCCAGAGAATGTAAGTACTTAACTCGCTGCAATGTGTCTAGTCTGGGTCACGTAAGAAATAGCACAAGAGATGCTAGTATCCTGGATTCAGAAATTAAAAAGTTTTTTTGATTTTGAATTCATTTGTCTTTCCATAAAAAAGGGTAATCCAATTCACTGCAAAAGAGCCACTTACAGTTTAGCAAACATACTAAATACCCATCAACAAAATGTTTTCTATATAACTGAAAGATCTACTTTGCCTGAAAGGGTGCGTTTCTCTTGACTAATGGAACTATATCAGTCATCCCCAAGTAGCCACAGAATGGGTACAGTTGCATACAATTTGTTTGCTCCTGTTGGGTTCCTCTCTATGTGTCTGAAAGTGTCAAAACACCTTTAGGGGGCTTATTAGGAAGATCCTGGGGCTTACATACCTAGGTTAATTGCATAGGTTTTATACTTAGGTTCCCATCTTTGGTTTCATAAACTCAAACTGTCATATTGAGGGCTGAGCAGTTAGCTTTTGTTTCTGCATATGCTACCTTTGTTAGCATTAGTCACTGCTAAAGGAATCATCAGGCAACTACTTGGCTTTTTAGGTGAGGGAGACATTTAACACACTGCCACACTAGAAAAAAAATTTTTTCCCCTAGGGCCATGGTTTTTTTTTAAAACGATTCTTTCTAATTTGTTATTTTTTATTGTTTTCTGTGTGTGAGTTATATGCAATGCAATCCATGGGTTTAGAATTAAATTGTCAATATTCACGGTAACAATAAGAACATTAACAAGATTTTCACCAACCAACTGCAGCATTTTGCTTCATGAGGGCCGGGGCTCAAAACGAGCCTGCGTTAAATACAACTCACATGATAGTCAATGTGTTAAACAGCAAGATCTTGGATATCCCACGGTCTCTCATTTGGCTCTTTTTCTTGGTATATAAAAGCACGCACAGGGGAAAGCCTGATGGTAATCTTGACTCTGCAACCCAGAGCTGTGTGTGTTGGCCCTTTGACTTTATTTTTGCCATTTTGTAAAATGAGGCTAATATACAGCTTTAAAAGGTTATTGTAAAGCTGAAAATAATGTATACTTTAGTATCTACCCCAATATCAAAATGTGGTTCTTTCTCCATATGGTGTAAACTTTGGGTTCTTAGTAATATTTGTGAAAAGGCCACAAGAAATACCCCAAAGAACAAGCTAAAAGTTGCTGCTATCGCTAGCCTTTTCTGTAACACTTTTTTCACCTCCGGACCCTGGACCTAGGAGAGAAGTATCACGTGGAAAACAGGTCTAAAGAGCTCCAGAGAATTTCTATCCTTAGGAACACAGGGGACAAATTTAACTAGTTATCTTTGTCTTAATGCCAGTCTTAGAGACTATGTAACACAAGTGGCACAACCATCTCCCATCCACCCCGACTACCTCCCCACCCTCCCTCTCCCTGTTACGAACTAACAGAACACCAAGTCTTCATCTTAAAAAGTGCGGTAACTTTTTACATAAAATATGACAAAATAATGTGCAATTACTTTATGCAAAACCACAACAGGAACTGTACAGCTGGTCAGGTGAGCTTCAGAGCTGCATTACTTCACCAGGATCATCTTTGCTTTCTTCCACTGGGGTCTGGGGAGAAAAAAGTATGTCAGGTGGGTCTATTGGTTGCTAATGTGAGACTGAAAATTGGCCTTGCCAAGGGCTGGCAGAGGTGGCTGTGTCCAATTCTGTCTCACCTAATGCCTCTGATCCCAGCTGCAGGGAGGCTTAGCAGTGTGGAAACTGACAAAAGGCAGAGAAAAGAAACATTCCCAGGTCTGACAGGCAGAGAAGACAGACATCTGCCACAAGAACTCTTTTACAGAGTAGTGTTTACTTGCCAAAGAGAAAAGTCTGGGTTGCTTACGCGGGCTGATTTAGGAAATGGTATTGAAAGCTGAGCATATGATATGTCCTATTAGCATAACAGGGCCTAGGTCAAAGTCAGAAAGCTTTGACTCTGGGCCTGAAAATATCCTTTTCTCTGCTTCCAAACTGAAGAACTTAAAAAGAATAAAGACTCTTAAGAAAATAGGTATAAAAGATCATATGAAAGAAAGTGGGAACTCTCCCAACTTTAAGTAGAGTGTGTACATGAATAATAGAAGTAGATAAGCTACAGTAACTGTTTTTTTTTTTAATAAGAGAGTATTTGTTTCTAAAGTTACTAGAGTTGGATTTTCATGCTTAGTTTGTTTCTCTGGGGGAATACATTTCAAAGTAGGACTAGAGAACAAAGCTGAAGGTACACTTACCCCTCCTGGGGGATATTTATATCCCTTCCACATCGTTCCTGCAATGAGAAGCATCCATAAGACAACAATCATTGCGGGGCTCCTTGCTCAGCTGGTAGTGTGCACAGGGAGAGATGGGTGGTTGTGGAAGGCACGGCGTTCTATTCCTTGGTTCCTGGGAACTGAGCTGTCTTCCTCAGAGACCAGATGGTGGATGGCCCAGCATGGCAGCTCTGGCTGAGGAGCTTCGCGGTCTAGTCTAAACTGAAATGGCTACCTGTGACCATTCTTGCGGGCAAAGCTCAGACACCAATTGTGACATCAGCTCCTGTAACCCTGGGGACCCAGCCAGAGTGTGCAGGTAAGGGCTGGTTAGCTAGCTGTGTTGGGGCTAAAGAGAGTTTATCAAAAGGGCCCTGCTCTCTTAGGGACTGCATGTGGTCAGGACCTAGCTGGCATCACAGCACCTGCCAAAACGTTTACCCATTGGCTTTATGCAATCAGATGTGAAAAATGTTGCTATGCAAAAAAAACAAACACCACCACCAAAAAAAAAAAAACCCAGCCTGGATTAATTGAGAAAATTAGCTGGCTAGGCACGCTATGAACACTTAATTTTATATGCTCTTGTTAGGCTATTCAAGAAACAAAAATCTTACGTTTTATAAAATGGCACAGTTAAATCCTCATCATGCATGGTAAGCCAGTCCTTACAACTTTCCTTAGAAGGGAAGAGAAGGAAGATGGGCTGTTTGTTTTACTCATTTCATAGCTGGAGAAACTGAGGCATAGAATAGTGTAAGTCATGTGGTCACCCTCACACAGTGTGGCTGTGGCTCAGCTCAAGGGCCCAGTGCCTCCATCCACATCCCCACTCTCACAAAGGTCTGACTGCTTTGGGCCAATGCTCTCACGGACCTCCTGGGACAAATGGAGCACAGGAAACCAACCATCATGTCCTGCTCCTAGGTATAGCCGGGCCTAGGGCTTGACACCCCTACCTTCTGGGGTAGCTGCCCCCAAAAGGGTAAGCCTTAAGTCTGAGTTAAGTTTCTTTAACAAAGGGAACAGTTCAACAGGTCAGAATGAAATGGGGTGGGATGTAAAAAACCCAGGAGATGGTTTGCTAAAAGGTATGTTGCCATTAATGTTTCCTGCAGGGAGGTTGGTCTAGTAGAATGTATGTGAGAGGCTACTAAGTCCAGACGTAGAGCTGTGTGCTTGCATCCCACCTTCACCAATGAACTAGCTCGTGTGGGCTTGGGTAAATAGTTGAGGTTACTGTCACCAGTAAATCTCTGTCTACTGGTTCATTATTTTGCTTAGTTGTTGAGTTAGTATTTTACTAAATGCTAACTGTCAAGCTTTGCATTAAATACTTTACATGAATTCCCATATGTAATCTTCACAAAAATGGTAAGACATTCAGATATCTCCCATGGTACAGAAGAAGAAACTGAAGTTCAGAGAAATTAATTGAACTTTCTCAAGGTTGCAAAGCTAGTAAGTTGCAAAGTTAGGACCTGAACTCAAGTTCATGTTAACTACAGTTTCAGGATCTGCCAAAAGCAGCATTAAAAATGCTGGTCCAAAATATAGTATTTGTGAGAAAATAAATTAATAGATGGGAACAGTCTTCAAAAAGAATACCTGAGAGACATGGTTATTAACAGAGAACTCTGGCCTGCTGTCCCTAGCAGTCCCCCATATTACTTCCCCTTCCACAGTTTATTATATTGTCCAAAGGAGTAAGAACTCGCCACTGAGATTTCAGGGTCCCACCAAGTTTTCTGGAAATGGAGGAATCTAGCCCAACAGACCTGACCCATTACTCACTGTGGCAGATCTTCATCCAAAGCCTCGCTCCTCAGTCGTGCCTTGCTCTCCTGAACAGGCCACCTCTCTTTCCACTTCAGAGTTGGAGGCTGAGGCACAAAGAAAATTTAAGGGCAGAGATACCTCTACGCATCAGTCTGGTAGGTAACTGCCTCTGTGTGGTGACTGGAAGGCCCCACCAATCCCCAAAGTTCTCCTTCCTACCAGTAACCACTGACCCAGTTGGCGTGAAAACCACAAGTCAGGTACTATCTCCCGCAGGAGGGAGGGGAAAAAAAAAAAGGACATAAAAGGAGGATGTCCCCAGAGGGATGGGAAGTAGCCTGGGAAATTAACTTTGTTCCCATCACATCCTGACTTCCAATTAGTGGTGAGACCTCAACTACCTCTCCAATGTGGTCAGAAACCCCAGATGCGAGGGTGAGTCAGCACCAGGACTGACGACTAGGGATTTACAGGCAGGGCCACTACTTACCATCAGCTCTGGAAACGTGCCCATGTAACATGCAAGTCCAACAAAAAGCATCCAGCCAAGTACGATCATGATCAAAAGTAAAACAGTTTCTAAGATATGCTTGCACAGTGAGAGACTATTCACCAAGATCTTGGCAAAAGGGTGTGCTCACGAAACCCCCAGTTGGTAGAGGTCTCGCATGTCAGTTCGAGTCCTTGGTTCCCAAGGATCCGCAACTCCCTAGTGGAGAAGCTGGAGTCTACCAGGGCATTATGACATCACTGGCTCATGTGGCCCAGATTCACAAAACACCAGAGACTGCTCCTGAACCAGTAGCTGAGCAGCATACAAAGCTCTTTTTATACATTATCTTACAGCAACACTATGAGCTAGTATTATTATTAACCCCATTTTACTAACGAGAAAACTGAGGTTTAGCAAGCCTGAGTGACCAGCACTAGGGCATACAGCTGATACTCCAGACCAGGGCCAAGACATAGGGCCTCCCCTCCCACCTCAAACGCTTCCTCACCTCCACTGTCTACTCACAGTCTTCAACACTTTGGGTCAGTTCCTCTCCACTGGTTCTCTTTTCTTGGCCACTATGAAGCCACAGGTACCCCTGTCCGTTCCTCAAAAAAAACCTCCAACTGATGCTGCAGCGCCCTCCCTATCTGTCCTGTTTCTTAATTTCTTTTTATGACCAGACTTCCTAAACAAGTGGTCTGCACTCAAAGCCTTTCTTTCCAATCTACATCTCTTTTCCATGCATTCCATCCTGACTTCTAGCCCCCACCCCACTACTTAGATGCTCCCTTAGAGGTCACCAAAGATCTCTTTTGTCAAGTCTAAGAACCACATCTTGTTCCCTTTGACCTCCCTGCATTGGCACAGTGGGTCCCTTTCTCCATCCCTCCTACATACACACCTCCCTATATATTATTTTGATATCTTCTTTATTTTAAATTATGAAAATAATAGGTGCTCATTATGAAACATGAAACTATCCAAAGATATATAAAGAAAAACATAATACTCCCTCCTCCTCCCCTCAATTTCCATCCCCATGGTAACCAGTGTTACCAGTCTCGTGTGTATCTTTCTGCCAAAGACTTCTCCATGAGCCTGCAAATACCATATAGATATAGAGGGATATAGTGGGTTTTTTTCCCAGTGTTGTTTTATTAAAGGTGATCATACTAATAATACATATGCTACTATGCAACTTGCTTTTCTCCTATAACAATACATCATGGACATCCCTCTGGGTCAAGTGATAAAAATCCTGCACATTTCTTTTTTTTTGTTCTTAATAAGCTTTATTGAGGTATAACTTATATATAATAAAATTCACTCATTTTTAGTGTACAGTTGATGAGTTTTAAACAATGTGTAAATCTTGTAACTATCACAATCAGGATAGAAAAAAATTGAGATTGGAGCCAGGCACAGTGGTTCTCACCTGTAATCCCAGCACTTTGGGAGGCAGGAGGATAACTTGAGGCCAGTAGATCAAGACCAGCCTGGGCAACATAGCGAGACCCCATCTCTACAAAAAATAAAAAACTAGGCAGGTATAGTATCATGTCCCTGTAGTCCTAGCTACTCAGGAGGCTGAGGCAGAAGGATCGCTTGAGCCCAGGAGTTCGAGGTTGCAGTGAGCTATGATTGAGCCACTGCATTTCAGGCTACAAGACAAAGCAATGCTCTGCTGTTTAATAAAAAAAAAAAAAATTAGATCATCTCGAAAAGTTCCCTTGTGCTCCTTTGCAGTCAGTCACCTTCCCCTTCAACTCCGTGGCTCTTGGAAATGACTGATATGCATCTGCATTTTCTAGCACTTCATATAAATGGAATCATAAGCTTCTTTCACTTAGCATAATGCTTTCTTGATTCATCAAGGTTGTTACAGAGCAGTGTTTTGTTTTATTGAATAGTATTCCACCGTATGGACATACCAGTTTTTCAATTTACCTGTCAAAGCACATTTGCACTGTTTCTAGTTTGAGGCTATTATGAACAGAGATGTTACAAATATTTGTGTACAGTTTTTTGTGTGAATATAAGTTGTAATTTGTCTAGGGTAAATACCCAGGAGGGTGATTACTGGGTCACATGGTGCCTGTTTAAAAATTTTATCACTAGTTCTCAGCAATTTGATTTTGAGGTACCTGTGTAATTTTGTACATATTTCTTCTACCTGCAGTTTGATAAGCTTCTTGGATCTGAATTTATGGTTTTCATTAAATTGGAAAAATGTTTGGCTATTATGTCTTCAAATATTTCTTCTGTCCTCCTCTCTCCTTCTGGGACCTCCAGTACATATATTAGACCAGCTGATATTGTCTCATAGCTTGCTGAAGTTCTGTATATTTTTTCAGTCTCTTTTGTACTCTATTTTGTAGTTTCCATTTCTATTATCTTCAAGTTTACTCATCTTTTCACCTACAGTGTTTAATCTTCTATTAATCCCATACAATGTGCTTTTCATCTGATGCTTTTCATTTGATGATGTATTTTTCATCTCTAGCAGTTCAATTTGTGTTCATCTTTCATGCTTTTTCACATAATGTTTTCCTTTACCTCCTTGAGCATATTTATAAGATTTATAATAAACTTTTTAGGGACCTTGTCTGCAAATCCATCCTCTCTGTAATTTCTGGGTCTATTTTGATGGCTGATTTTTCTCTTTGTTGGGGATGATATTTCCTGCTTCTTTAACTGTCTGGTAACTTTTGGTTGGATGTAGAACACGGTGAATTTTACAGTATTGGTGGATTTTGTATTCCTTTCAATAGTGTTAGATTTTATTCTAAGATGCACTTAAATTACTCGGGATTAGTTTGATACTTCTGAGTCTAGTTTTATGCTTTATTTGTTTATTATTAAAAGAACAGTTTTTACTCTAGGGTTAATATCCCCACTATTGAGCTCTGATCCTTTTGAGCATCCTCTGTGATGCCTATTGTATTAGATCTTTCCAATCTGTGGAATGTTCTACAACTCCCAGCCCTTTGGTGGCTCTAAGAAGCATTTGGCCTACTGTTTTTAGGTGGTTCTTTCCCAGGCCTCATGAAGTTTTATCCCACATATGTGCAGACAGAATTCAACCAAAGATTCACAAGTGCCCCTGTGGAGACCTACCAAGCTCTTTTTTTATTATTATTTTTAACCCCAATCTTTTGTAATACCAAGCTCTTTCTCCATGGAGCTCCCTCTTCTCAGTACTCCATCCTGCAAACTACTGGCACTCTGGCATCCTCTGTACTTTGCTATCTTTCTCTTCAACTTGGCAAGACTCTAAGTTTGGGTAACCCCTCTCTGTGCTACAGTCTGAAAGCTGACTCTAGGCTGGGGCAATGATAGGACTCACTTTTTTCCTTTCTCTCAAAGTTGATAGTCTTGTGCTACCTCTTGTACAGGATATGAAAATTATTTCATATATTGTGTGCAATTTTCTATTCATTTATGGAAAGAAGGTAATTCCTGTGGCAGTTGATCCTTCATAGGCAGAAGCAGAAGTCTAAAATTCTTTTTTAATTCCTACATAATATTGATCTTTCTCCCAATGATATATCATATTGGTCAAGGTCCAGTCAGGAGACAGAAACCACACAGTAACCTGAAACTTTAATTTTTTTTTTTTTTTTGAGATGAGGTCTTGCTATGTTGCCCAGGATGCTCTCAAACTCCTGGGCTCAAGTGATCCTTCTGTCCCAGCCTCCCTAGTAGCTGGGGTTACAGGTGTGAGCCACTGTGCCCAACTTTGTAAGTTTAATAAAAAGATTAACTAGGAGCCAGACATTAACTATGAAAGAGGTAGAAAGCATTATATATTATAGGAATAGCATATGCAGGGAGCAGCCACTACCTCTAGGGCTGAGGCAAAGTACCCAAGGAAGAAATAAATTTGGAATAGTTCCCCCCTCCCTACTCCAGGGCTGAGATCCAAAACTCGGAGAAGTCATACCCAAATGGATGGTAGAGAAGTCTAATGAGCTGTTGCAGGCCAAACCTGGCATGCAGGGAACCACCCTCTGAGGTGCTGTGGAATTTGCTGGAAGCCTTCAAAGTGGGTTCTGTGCAGTTTACTGATCACTGTTGAGAATCCGGGGGTGTGCCAGTAGAATGTACCAGGAAGCTGCAATGTGAGATGCTAGTAGAACTCACTGGCAAACTGTTTCGGTGACACCAGTATGGAACCAGTCCACAGAGGGAACACTGAAACTTAAACAATGCTGTGATTGTTAGAAACGAAATTTCTTTGACAACTTTCTCTTAAGCATGACTAATTTTTTACTTATTAACCAGAGAAGCGGCAAGATGACAAAAAGAGTATGCCGGTTCAGACAGAACATGAAAATGGAGAGACTATATAAAATCCTTATAAAAAGAATTAGGTTAGGAAAAGTAAGAAAGATTGCAGTTTCATTTCACAAGGTCATAAAAACATGGCTGTGTAGGTTGTTACAAAGAACGTTTGCGGAAGAATGGCCTCGGATGTAGAATATGTTGTCAATGAACAATAATATATTCCACACATCCAAGAAGTATATAAGAATAAATCTGTCTGATATTTGGTGTTGAGGTAAGTTCCTTCCATACCTAGTTTTTTGAGTTTTTAATCATGAAGGG